TCAACTTCACATCCGATATTGAAAGTCACTATGGATTCTCTCATCCTCGCTATCCTGTTCCATTCTCCCGATGACTTCTAAAAAATTCCCCATTTTTATTCTTTACTTCATCTCCTTTTCACTCAGCAATCAGGTTAGCCTCGCCGTTGCATTCGTACATGCCAGAGTCAGAACAGGAATTTCCAGGTATCAAACCCCTAAAAAAAAAATTCCCTGCAAATAATCTCTTTCTGATTCATTCTCTATCAGAAGCGTTTTTTCGACGAAAAAAAAGCAATTTACAGCCCGAGTTTTAAAAAACCCGTATTTTTCAATAATTTTTTCCAGGTTTTTGCGAGTCCAACGATTTCCAACAATTTGAAGAGAAAAATTTAATTGTAACAGTGGTTCCCAGGCGCGCTGTAACGTGGTAGGTGCTTTAAACAACGGGTCATGACGGTGAGGTGGAGGGTTGCCTGAGGTGGTCGCTGGGATGACCTCTGTAGTCACTGGGCGGGTCTGTGGGACAGGGGCGAAAGCCGAAGGGGCAATGCATTTGACTGCAGCCACGGTAGTACCTGCCGCTTCTGCTACTTCCTACCGACGCCGGCGTCGGCTGCTGCTGCTGTTGCTGCTACCCCTAACACTTCCCCACGCCGAATTCACGGCAATGCGGTACTCCTATCTATGTTTAATAGACTGCATAGACGGCGGAGCGTGGCTCCCGTTATGCACTTTACTGTAATGCCGTCACCTTGCTACCCTTATACATACCAAGCTAAAGATACACATGACGCTGGGTTACGACGTTGCGATACACTTAGCCTAGCATCGCCTTAACATCCTCTAGACTTGGCCTACACGCGAGTCTTCCTATGCTGCGGTAACCCTGTCTATGTTTAGCAGACTACATATCTATACACCAGAGCGTGACTTTCTTTATGCATTTTTAGCTCAATCCCATCGATCGATACCCAATCGATACATTCAATCACCCCAGGATACTCGATGGACTCCATTCACGGGACTTTACTGTTTCAGGATTATGGCCGCTTTTGGAATTTTTTCTGACCTCACTATGGACGCCATCTTCATTACACGACACCGATGCATTCTGGATTATTTACTCCACTGCACTTTTACTGCATCCGTCATTGGATTCTTATCCATTGATTATCTTCGCCCTGGATATCAATTTTTTTTTCATTTTTATACCGTTGGTACCTTTACCCTTTGTAAATAATTTCGGTTCGATTTGTTCTCTAATCGTATTGACGTGATCCTCAGGCTGAGCGGCGGTCGCGTCTCGTGGGGGAAAGGTAACATAGCTTCTCGAAGTGGCGTCCCAGAGCGTCGCGACGCAGGACGTTTCGTGACTCGTACTTACTTCCCTTAACTCGATAAGAACTCCTCGACACGATCCCGGGAGGTAATATCCGATATGTGTACATAAATACATGTTGTTGTTAGGTTAGGTTTATGAGCATTTAACGTATGAGCGTGTCCATAACATGGGCGACAATCTTTCTGTGCTTTATAACCGTATGTATGAGAATATATGAATGGCCGTAATGTTAGCCAGAACTGGGATATAAAATAGGCAGGAATGCTTTTTGAGTTTTGCGAATTTCTATCGACTCTTTCGCTAAATACTTTGTGGTTCAAAGGTTTATGTATAGGTTAGGTATAGAATACATGTATATATGTATATGCATACTTTACACAAGTACCTGGTGTATGAGAGGGGAGGCAGATAGGCGTTCGAAATTTGTTGTGTCTTTTTATCTCATTTACAAAGTATGGCCGTTTTCGAATATTGACAAAAAAAGAACCGATTTGACAACGCTCAACAGACTGAAATGGCGTACTAGCCTCTCAAAGGAATTCGCGAATCGTGCAGTCGTGGAATCGTGCTGAGATTATTCAGTTTGAAAAATAATGCTTTCGACCGCTGGACACTGATTTACACAATTTGCATAGAAACAATATCTCGTTGGAGACAGTCAGTGTTTCGCGCGAGCGACCCACTCGTGAGATTGCAAAGCGATTCGCGAATATTCAGCTATCCCGTAGCGTTGTGGCCATTGGAAATTCGCGAAATTCTCTCGCCATTTTACGGCTACTGTGTTTGCCTGTGAATTCGTAGCAATTTGTCGACGCCGGAAAGAACTGGCCGGTTTTCATGGCGCGACGAGAACTTTAATCGCACGCGAATTTCGACCGCACTGAGGTTCGTGTATACCGTGAACATCGTACGAGTGAATTGTCGCATCTCGAACGTGCCAAAAATTAAATTCAATGAAACTATTATTCTGCGGGCTAGCACGTATTTATTTCTACCGCAAATATAAACTTTGTGTGTCGTCGCTGTTGGCACTTTATCCCTTTCATGGATATTCGGCATAAGTATTTTTTTTATGGCAATCAAATAGACCTTGTTGCTCCAAGTAGATTGTAAATCCACATGCACTTGTGATAATGAATTTTTGAAATATTATTTTTTCAATTCTAGATATAAATCAACTCTAACAACGAAGGGGAATAAAAGCAGTGAAAATTTTCAAAAATTTGTAAACTCATGTAAAGTTCACTTATCATCCCCGTCTGTCGATTATCCAATGATGCCTGATGCTTCATAATTTGACACAGGTAATTTGCTCTGTGATGAAAACCGGATCTTGAGGTACTTCAGCACAATAGCTAGCCTCTACCTAAACCATAATTAGTAATGATTGATATATAGCGAAGCGAGGCAAAAAGCTGGCTAAAGAAAATACAAAATGCTTAGCAGTGCAAACATTAGGCTTTAATAGCATAAAGCGTGCCCTGGTACTTTTAAATTAACGGATAAGCCTATCGAAGAACGAGGAAAGAGGATAAAACCAAAGCATATCCGACAAGCCATAAGACTGAATCTTCTTAAGATGATCTGAGACAGATTAAATCTAACCCCTAGGCTTAAAATCTGCACTCGTTCCTCGGCTTCGTTATATTCAAGTTATATAATTTTTAATGAAAACCCAACACAGGCTTTTTACCTTATTTACATAAAAAATATATAAAACCATAGATCAGTAATTGCTTCTGAAAACGATAACCTTAAAATAATTATTACATAATTTTGCATACACCGTACAAATAGCGTACATAATATACATCAAACTCGCATATAAAACTCTAAGTACCACTCAAGACTTCCCTCGTTAACGTAAGACCAATAAGGAGTTCAAAGGTCGGACCGGAAGTCGTAGACCAGAAATGATACTCGAAGTAGGCCTCGTAATCTGCCACATGTTGCTACCGAATTCCCCTCACACGTTACACAACAGCACGTATATAAACAAGTAGATATACACTCGCGCACCCTTGAACCAGGTTGACCTTTGACACAGCATCTGTCTCAGACATTAAAAAAAAATCAATTTCGTAAATTTGAATCTACATTTAAATCTGTAATTATCATCAGATAAATTTCATATTTCAGGTCACGCGTATAAGCACTGTTATCATACTTGATCTTAACGATGGATTGAATGCGTCCATTGACCCTAAGAATAAGATCTTCCCAGCTACTCCACAGTGACCCATGACCCCCACATACTAAGAGGTTAATAATCCCATGACCAATATCCTCTTAGTGAATTCCTCATAGATTTCATTGCACAACGACGTCTTAGTTTGGCTCGTCTTCTAATACGATCAGTGGCTCCTCCTCGTTATGGGCTATAAAGTTGTCAGAGCTGAATGAGAATGGAAGGGTCAGGGGGTCAGGGAGAATCAAGGTTATTACTACCAAACGGCCCTTTCATCGATCTTACTCAAGTAGGTACTACCGTGCGTAATCTAGCCCAATCTGTAACAGCTCAAGTCTGACTAACGACACCTGCTGCTACTTAAATCAAGAGACTCGGTCGAGTCTGGTGCCGAGTGCAGGCAACCGGCTGTACAGGGCACGGACCGCCGAGACTCTTTACCCGAGTCGACTCTTACCCCCGAAAAAAAACATGTGTAAAAAACTATGTCAAGTACAGGAGTGCTGTGATATCCTGTAACAAAAAGTATTGAAATAATACAAACTGGACATGCCCGTGTAATCTGTGCCGCGCGGTTCTATACGTACAATATACTATATACATAAAGGTAAATCCTACTCCGCTACCAGTGATTTCACCTAACGGTCAGAAATTCGAAAGAGTTAAACTACTGAAATTAAACCCCTCCCAAAAATACGTGTAAAAAACTATGCCAAGTTAACAAGTCACTACGTATTTGCTTATTACGTGATCTAGCACTAGCCCATAATTTTAATTGTATTTTCAAAATTTCTTATAACGTCTTCGCTACTGCTTTACGTTGTTACTGCTTCTTATACTTAATTATGATTTAACAGTGATTTAATAATTAATAAAACTTCAAGCTGCGGTCAAGACTCCGGAGGCAAGATACGAGATTAATATTTATCAGTGTGCCGAGAGTGGCGCAACCAACCCTTGAGATGCCAGTGATGCTGTGCAGCGTTTTCACTCTCACTCGGCTGGACCAGAGGTGCAAAGGATGACGGTTTGGCATTACTGTGTCGGAGTGAGGGCTCTGTGTAGGGGTGGTTTTCTCAAGGGCTGCTACGAGCCTCGAGAGCTGGCTGGTATGGTGGAAGAGCAAATGAGAGAAAACAGGGGGATGCTGGAGAATCCTGCCGAGGGAGAGTAAGGGATTAACTCGTTTCTGGCCCGATGGGCATTTTATTACGCAGATGTATATCTGTATGTATGCATAGTTGGTCCAGCATCGGGATACATACGGGCAGGGGCCTCAAAGCACGTTGTTGTACTCTTTTACGAGCCGCACGAGTGTTGAGCCAAGCGGGCTCAAAATAGTGCCAACTTTCAACCCCCGAGATAACGAGTGACACGGTTGCCAACTCACCACCCTCTGGCGGTCCACGCCACACTCTATAAATTGTCCAATCGCAAAACGAATCGAACTTCTTTTCTTGTACTAACCACTTGGCCTTTTTTTCTTGTACTCATTTTTTCGACACTTCTTCCATTTCCTTTTTCCTTCTGTACGTAACCTTTTATTTTCTTTTTTCTTCACTCAGCTTGGGGTTTGCAGGGCTCAGTGTGACCCTTTTCACTTCTCTGCTGGACGTAGTAACGGAAATTACTTTTTTATTTGAGTTAATTTTCACACCTGTAATTCTAGCGGTTGAACATGGAATTTATTTTTTAACGAGGGTTAAGGAAAAGAATATTTGGATAATTATATGCAAAGCTTCGACTTTTGCGATACAGTGTCGCGACGCTATCGCGTCGGGACGCTAGGGTGCAATTTAGCATATGGTAAATCTGGGGTTTCATCGTCGGTATTTATCAGGGTGGGAAAGTCGAGCATCCCCTTGGAAAGAGGATGTGGAAAATCGGGAAATTATCATCCTGAGAGAGAGTGTGGTTTACGTGCTGAAGGGGTAGTTTCGTTGAGTGGTTTTTTTTTTGGAGACGACAAGATGAGAATAAATGGAAGAAAAATTATTCCTTGCAACATGAAACATCAGGAGATTGCCAGCCAGTTTTCTTATGTGACAAATAGCAGTGAAAGAAATGCCTCTTGAATGTATTTTGACTGATATCATTTTTTTTAATCGATATTAATTGTATTATCAAAAGCTCCAACTTAAACGTGGAGGTTGAAGTGAACGAAAAAATACAAAAAATGTTATCTGATATCGTACTGTAAATAAGTGAGTAAATAACTGATTACCTTTGAAAATTTAAAATCGACTTTTAGAAATAATAATAATATTCTTTGTATGAAATTCTTTGATGAATTCTCTCTCTCTCTCTTGTCTACCAAAGAATTTGTGGCTGACGGACCAAAAAAGTCACGTTCAAATCATCCCCATTGAATGTCGATACGTTTCACGCAATTTTATCGTATTTTATAACCCAGAAACGATCTCGCCGAAAATAACACACTTGACGCCCAATATAATACATGTATACTCTTGCATATAACAGAGACTAGAGTATTTCCAAATTCAGTCAGTAATCAATAATTATTTATACGGCAAAAGCAGTGCAGGTAGATTTTCATAATTAGATAATATAATTGACAAATTCGTTAACGATTAATTAACATTGTTACTCGTTTGCAATTGGTAGTACCAAATTGATACTATCGATACCCCTGTCACTTTTCTGTCTCGCACAGATATACCTGTGTAATTTTGATTACACTCCTTTTCCCAAATAAGAATTTTTTTCTACAATTATTACGAAATATTTATGTCTGATTAAACGTTAGTTCGTTTTTAGGCCAAATAATTATATTCGTACAGGAACTAGTTATGCTTATGTTGGTTCGTAAGGTCACTTGTTGCCAACCTCGACGACAACCTGTTAAGGGTTTATACCAACCACGACACACATATTCAAATATTGATTTGCACCGTTTACGAGCTTGTAACTCGTTTGTCATTCTAGGTGTCCGCCGATATCTGTGTTCTTTTAGCTAGAGTTCACTCAGCTCTAAGTTCCCAATGATCGAACGTTCATTGAATCGGGAAGATAAAAAAAGAGCCAAAAATTCCAACATGGCTGTCGATCATGCTCGGTTGAGTCTTTTGGTAAAGTTATGCTATAGTTTTGCTGGTACGATATTCTGTACATAGATGGCGACACTGAATTTCAAATGTGCCAGTTAAAAATAGAGATATACATGTGTTGAATAGAGAAACATATAAAAATATTTGCATAAAGATTTTAGTATAGACATTTTATGAATCGTGTGCCGTATACTTTGTCTGCATTGGGATCGCGTGCGGGAAAAAAAAGTGCTAAAGAGGCCGCGTTGCGGAAAAGTAAATTTTTCAGTAGCCACGTAAACTGCTGGACGGTCTTGGTATTTACTACGTGACCATGCAACAGCGAGGATTAAGTGTTTATTATATGAAGAATCGTTTGTAACGATAATATTCGTATTATTTTTGAAAAATGACGGCAAGCCTTCGAAGCATACTACAAAGCTAATATTTATTTCCGTCACTTGAAGTTGGCCGTGCCTCGTGCCAATTGGTCGATAATTTGTATTTTCGCACTAAAAATTTAAAAACGTACCCTATCGATATTCTTTCGTTGCTTCGTTCAAAGAAAGCAAATATCGTGTCAAGCGGTCGTAAATACTAATGGAAAACTTTGTTAAGAAAAAAAAGGCGAATAGCTCATATACGAAATTTAAACTAACCTAACGACTAGCTCTAACTTTAAAGCATTTCCGGTGAGCAATTACAAGCAGCTATGATTGCTCATGGTACGAAGTAGTCTCACGATTATTTACCTTTTTATATTGTGACGTGTTTTTTCGACTCACAGTCACAAAGCGACTCCAGCTACCGATTCAGAAAACCTTCTCGCTTTTTGGTTCACTTCGAGTCACAATCCTCCTCAGAAGCTACACTGTCGGATTAATTCGTACAGTTACGCCAATGCTCTCGGAAGATTTTTTATTGTGGAATTGAGGTCGAGGTGTTCGAATCTGCCGTGGAGAGACAGTCCTGACGTACCGGGTTGCCTGGTAGAGGAGAGTACCCGACGGAGACGTTTCCACGTATCGGCAAAGATCCGGGTGAGGTACCACCGACCCGCTGGAGAAAGGCAAAGGGCTGTAGAACGAGCGGAAATAAGGTTTTGTTACGATTAAGGACAGGGGAGGAATCCCCTGTTGACGATGTGGTGCCCAGCTGTGGCCCGATGTCCTGGGCAAGCGGCCGCGGATGATCTCCAAGAGTCACGTACCGATTCGCTAAGGAACACTCCCGATTTAGTTTAAAGAAACCAACTCGAGAAAAAGGATAAGAGTTATCGGCTATAAGGATCTCGACCAATCAGAATGATTTGTTTCCGTATTTGACTATTCTCAATTGACTGCTTCAAAGCAGTCTGTCTTGTGACACCGATCAAGGTGGTTCGAGTTGGCTGGCGCTCTCCGCGCTATCTGTTGACAGTTTCTCTAACTGCGTGTCATATACGGTATAGAAAGTCTCGCTTGTGTGGCTTTCGCGTTGTTCTCGCAATATCCAGAAAATACTATCGATTTTCCGCGTGCGTTTCGGAGGTGCTGTGCAATAGTGTAGTGCCCACCTGAGTGTCTCCTGGATACAGTTCTCGGTCTTCACGGATCAGCTGAACCAGCCCTGGTGAGTACTCCCAATTTATTAATCGGTGGAGGGATTTCAGCATATACGGTTACGTTTTCCGTTTTTAAGCGTCCCCAAAAATGCGCAGGATCCGTTAAGCTACTGTCTTTTCTGGCAGGTTCCGTCAGAGCTCTCGTTTTGGCGGAGTTGACACTTTTTCACCTCAACTCCCAGGTCATACCGGCTCGTCAGTTGCTGGTGAAAAAAATGACTGGCATCCGCCTGTCATGCGAATGCATGAACGAAAAGTGGACGGCCGAAGGTGACGTAGGTTAGTTCTCGAATTTTCGTTATCGGTGCGGGATTAAGAAAATACGTTACATTCTAGAACGAAAGAACCCTCCGAACCAACCCCTTATAAAACCAACAACGATCCCCCTATTAGACGTCCTTATAAAATACCCACCAATTTAACCCCAGGAGACCAAAAGATCAATCGACATCTTTGTACTCGCTAACTTTTTTTTTATTCACCACGGATTTCCTTTCTCGACCCATCGCCATTCCTTGTTCACCCCGATTCCTAACCTTTCACAGGGTGAGACCGATTACCCTCCTCAGGCCTCTTCGCAATTGCCAGGAAGACTTATTTCCTCGAATTCAACGGGATATCTTTCCGCGTACCATTTAATTAGGCTCGTTACCTCAAGCTGAGTTTTGACATGGTTGGCCAATAGCTGCCTCTACCGTCAGTCTAACGCGTCCGACTAGTATCAAGAATATAATTATTACAACCGTATACGATTGATCTTCCTCAATTTTTTTCGATTACACTCGATTACAATCTACTGAAATAACCAAGTAAGTTTCCACGGCGAACGAGTGGGGCATACCTGTTCCTTGTAATGGTGGACAAGTACCGAATTGAGGATGCGCCCAAAGTAGGCCGTCTACGTACAAGTTTTAGTTCATGTACTTGGAGCGTAGGACTTGGGATACATTGGGAATTGGACAAATATAAGATCCCCGGTGCATGTCTCTAGTCGGTACTGTTTCTCGTACGTGACTCATACGTTTCCATATAATGTATCTCGTCTCTATAGAACTTCGTGAATGACAAACTTTTCGAAACTACTGTATATACTTGTAACAAGATCCCATGCATTTGCTTGTAGTTACTTTTTTCGAGACTTCTAGCGATATTGGACTGAAAGTTTCGTGACGTCATTCTTTTTTTTAAAACCGTCGCCATATTGTTTTTTGTCTTCGTTAATTTTAACCATCGTCCCATTGTCTACGGAAATGTAGCTGGTACTGGTTTTATTCTGGGCTTGCAAAACAAGGGTAGGAAGAGAAACAGAAAGAAACAAGGACACGACAAAAAAGTTCCAAACTTATTTCTCGTTGGCTTTGTGGACATGCTTGCGTTCGGCGCTGTACATCACTATGTATTTATATAGGTGCTCATTTATCTGTTTAGTATACTGTACTATGTATATCTGTATATATGTATATATGTATACTTCGTGAGCGCGAGGCACGAGAAGCGCCTTTGATTTCTGCAGGGAAATGAATTCGCAATGGCGCTCGTGGTCGCGTGCTTCGAGTACTAGTAACTGTTGGATGGTGGGGGTAGGGGAATGAAAAAAAGGGAAATGTAGATATAAAAAATAATGGAAGGGCGAGTGGCGGCGGAAATAATAACAACTAGGCAAGGTGGTGGCACCGTCATGAGGGCCAAAGCGAAAAGGAATTACCTACCCCGAAGAGCTTCGTCAGCTGCACGCGACTGGATAAAATGTATTTCAATAATAATAATAATAATAGAAAGTGAAGAAAATTGGCAAAATTTTCAAAATTTAATATCCAAGAAAGTTTACGGATTTACAAAACAATATAGAACATTAGTGTATATATATGTATATACGTTCGAATAATTTATTCGTTTTTTGGGATTTTGATATTTAAAAAAAATTATGCATTTTATATAATTACGAATTAATACATGCGTAAAATTGACGCGTAATAAAACTTGAAGGGAAAAGTTTTATGGTTGTACGTTTTGCAATGACTAATGGGATGTTAATTCGCTGAAAAAATGATCTCGCATCTTGGTGATAAAAGAGCAAGCAGGTATCAAAATTTCTAGAAATCAAATAGATAAGCCACGTGAACATTAGGTAAAAGTTAAAAAGGCTTCGCGATTAATTTGCGATTAGTTTATTTGCGAGTTTCAGTCGGTCACCTGTGCTCGAGTGGTAAAGGCTGATACACATGAGACAATACGGCGAGCCTGCAGCTGCAACGTCTGGGCAGTTGGATATTTTTACCAGGCTGCAGCTGCGACGTCAACGATCGATCGTCAAAGTTATCCGCAAGGCACTCATTTTGTTTGTCTCCTTTCTTCAGTCTTTATCTTCTTTCTTTGTTACTCGTCAGTGGCTCCCTCACGCGGAGCCTGTGAGAAGCTCTGGGTATTATTTTTCCCCAAGGCTTCCGGAAATCGAGAGACCACGTCCGGTAAAGAAATCTCATTCGTCCTCGTGACAAAACGGATAAACGAAGATGCTACAACCTGACTTATGTAAACCTGTGGATTCCAGGGTGACTCTTCGCGAATTACGAGCGTGAAATAGAAATAAAGTGGAAAATGTTGGCGGGTCGGTCTCTACGTCTTTGCCAAATGTACTTCGGGGAAGCTTTATGGTACGCCATTATCCCGCGACGTTTCAACTGTCGCTTGAACGTTCGTACGTAAATGGAATCGCAAATCAGAAATTGCTGGGATATATAAATTCTCTATTCTGGTTTCGTTTCGGTCATTGTTGTCTGTATATGTTAGTGGACGTAAATAATTTAATAGGAATAGGTAAAAATTGTATTATGGTTAAAAATATTTTAAGGTTGCAATAAAAGATGCTAGGCACCTTGTATCTTATTGCATACGGGAATAATAATAAAATGAAGGAAATAAAAGTAAACTTGGAAAATAACGTCTTGGTTATGTATGTGATAATAACAGTCTTGGGCGGAATTCATTAAAATCGTATGTATGTTAATGTATGATAATGAAAGTCCCTGTTTTGATATTAGCCAGTTATTAATAATCGAAATAATAAAAGTGCCGTGACGCGTCGACTCGACTCCTTGCACGTCATTCGCACGCGACTTTAAACCAATCATAAATCACGTGCTGTTAACGATTCTCTTCTTTACCATACTGAAAATTGAGACTTACCGACGGAGGCTTCTTTCTACTTAGAAATGCGTGTCAGCCATGATAGAAAATCGCTTTGCAGAACATCCTACTAGATGCTATTTTGCATATATTTCTTTAATAATCAATCTTTGATGTCGACCATAAGTGGACAATAGATTAAATAATCGAACAAGTAAATCGATCTCGATAACCAAAACTTCGCTGCGTACAAGTAAGGTTTGATTAATAATTTATGAAAGAGTCGGTTTCACAAATGAGGTTTATTGCTTAACCCCGGTTTAACTACTAGATTAACCAATCAACATTTTCAGAGATAAACCAAGTTTTAACAATAAGCCGTGTTTGTGAAACCGACTCTTATAGAAGTAATTTAAATATTATAGAGTCTAAACTGTATATTCTGGTATACTAAATGATATGCAATGATATATTTTGTTATTATATCCAGTGATATTTCTGTACTCATTTTAGTATAGCACTAACCTCAACAGATAACGCGCGAAATTCAAATATGGTTAATCGCGCAATGACTTTACCTTCCAGACAGGTAGACGCTTCTTGCTTTTCAGCTGACAGGAAGGATTGTATGGCAAACTCTGGATAGAGTTGAGTGGATTTTGGTGCCATCCTATTACACTGAGATAGAACCAGGAAGATATGCTTGAGTAGGTCGTCCCGTACTAATTTCGACAATAATGGAGTCACTCGGTCCTACCTCCGACTGCTACCTACCTTATCGCACCGCGAGATATATAGATAACCTTCTCGTCTGACTTGGCGTTTCGATCAAGGAAGATCTAAGAGAATCAGTCAAAATCATTATAATGGTACGGTACGAGAAACACGTGATATATGCTATACTGTAGCCATAGATATATCATGCCAGAAGCACGTGAGTAGAAATACAAAGTGCGAAATGCGAATTAATGCAGTCAGCTGTAGGAACCAGCTGCGGCTGTAGAACCAACCGAGTGAAATGAGCGTGAGAATCGGAGGGTAAATACGGACGGTAGAGTGCAGTCCCAATTACGTCCAAGTGCTATTGCAGTTGCGGATCCATTTTCGGTATAGTTGACGATCGCTTCGTGCGACCGTAGTTAGATACAATTTTCTTGGCCGTCAGTCAATTCGATAAGAGTCATACTGGCCAAGCCTTTGGTTATTATATTGGGTATTCTGGGTTATAATAGATACTAGTAGGCTATACTTGTAATATATCATAGAGATATGCTTGATTGAGAATTAGGGGTTATGTTAGGAATTTTTCGGAGATGTCTGCCAATTGGCTCATTTCGATGATTCTCTTTTGCTGGGTTAATCGAGAGCAAGAGCGTGCACGGGACGTTTTAATGACCCTCGTCTATCCCAGAGGGTATATCAGGAATTAACGGACTTCAGGGATTTCGTTTGCGAATATCCGTTTTTTTTTTCCCTCCAAATTGAACTGCACTGTTAGACCCTTGAATTATTTCGTCTTTTGGTTCTTTCTCTTTAAAGTTGTCTCTACCACTATAGTCTCTTATCAAGTATTTATCGAGAGATTATCCTGTTACTTTTTAATCCACCATTTATGCCTGCTCTGTATCTCATCATTATCTGACCGAGACTGTAAACTGCTGTAAATTACTGAAGAGCTTTTAACGCGCTCGTTATCGAGGTCACTTTCCTGGAATTAGTCAGATTGGTTTTAGGGTCGAAATCATTATTTTAGTCTAGGATTGGTCTGAGGGCGTTAATAACATTGTATACATATATATGTATATATATATATTGATTGAATAATGAAATTTAGTTCTGTACAAGTTAAACCAAACGAAACTACACTGTACGCGATAGGATAACATCGTAAACCGCAGAGAACAAAGGACGTCAGTGCATGCTGGTGTTAATTTCATCGCGATCGTAAAATTGATGGAGCAATAAACACAAAATCCCTAAAATTGGTCTATCGGAAGGCAGAGGGTTAACGTCAGGACGTTCATTCATGATTTCACAAATGAATCGATAGTCTAGCC